CATGTCCCCTTTCCCCAGCTCACAGTCCCTGTTCAATGAGAACCCCTCTATTGTAATCACCATCAACTCCCTTGCTTCTTCCTTCCCTTTAGAGATCACTGGCAGACTTTTTATGATGGCCGAACCAACTCTACCTTCTTTATGCCTGTGCTTGAGTGGACACAGAAGCTCATTGTTAGAGAGAGTGCAAAGAGGAGAGTGGGAAGACTGATTTTATTTTAAACTCATGGCTGCTGACCTCAAGTGCTGGTGCTACTTGGCATTCCTACTGAGTTTCCTAGTACGGGCTCGTTCTTTGCTCAAATACATACATCTTGTGTGTTCAGCACTGCCTCCAAACCTTCGGCAGGTTTCTCCTTCCTGCTTATCTCACCGGCTAATGAGGAGATAGAAGAACTCCTTTTGGAGAGGGCCTTACTCGGGAAAAGCACTGACTTCTCAGGTCCTCATTTTCTCTGTGAGTGAGACAGCTGCCTGCCCTCATGGAGTGACTAGGGGACAGAGAGAGTGACCCCAAGGCAGAGGGAGTGACCGCAGAGCATGCGGCATGACTGTGGGGCAGGGGGGGGTGACTGTGAGGCAAAGGGGTGACTGCAGGGCAGGAAGTGTGACTGTGGGGCAAGGGGAGTGATTGTGGGGCAGAGGGTGTGACTGTGGGGCAGGTGGAGTAACCGCGGGGCAGGGGGGGTGACTGTGAGACACGTGAGACATTTTATTATTTGCACTTTGCAAACCTTTGGGCACTGTGCATATGTAGGTCATTTTATAATAAAACCCAAACCAAACCAACTGCCTGTCAAGTCCAACTCATAGCAACCCTATAGAACATAGTACAACTGCCAACAGGGTGTTCAAGGCTGTCATTTTTTTTTTTAATTTTATTTTGATTTGGGTGAAGATTTACAGAGTAAATTCACTTTTCTTTCTTTTTTATTTTATTTTTTTATTTTTTTAGGATTTGGGTGAAGATTTACAGAGTAAATTCACTTTTCATACAGCAGTTCACATATACTTTGTCTCATGTCATTGACCAAAATTTACAATGCAACAGCTCCCCTCCCACTTCCTCCCCATAGTTACCTCTTCCCAGTGTCCATCCCTCCATACTCTCCTGCGCCCTGAGCTGTCTCCCTGTGCATAAGCAGCCCTTCCTTCTCCCATGATTGTTCTCTCCAGGGCGTGTGTCTACTTGAGGTAAATGTTTAACTCACTTGCCTATACTTTGTTTGGCTGGAAACCACAGTTGTGGGTTCAATTCCAGACCTGAAGGGCAGCTAGGGGCCATAGTCTCAGTGGTTCCACCAGGCTCTATTGGACCAGCAAACCTGGTCCCCACCTTCTTTTTTTTTTTTTTGCCTCCAAATGATTTTGAGTTTTGTTCCACATTGTTCTCCCTCTCTATGCAGGATCTCCTACATCCCTTCCAAGTGGATGACAGTGGTAAGGGCTGTCATTTTTATGGGAGCAGATCTCTAGATCTGTTCTTTTGTGGAGCTCCTGGTGGGTTTGAACTGCCGACTTTTCGGCCTAGTGTTCAATTGCTGTTCCACCAGGGTTCTTCGTAGTAATATTTTTAATCTTGGTGTTTGGGGTTTCCTTGGTTTGAATGCTAGATGTATTGAAAAAGCTTGGACTTTGGGATTGCACACCTCTGCTTGTCAGTTGAGTGACTTTAGGCAGCAGGTTATTTAAAATGAGGAAATTGTAGTTTGTGAGGCATTTCTTCACTTGTTAGGAAGGTATAATAATAATATTAGCTACTACATAGTATTGTGGGGCCCAAATGGGGTAATAATATGTATAAAAAATATCCCTAAATTATAAAGTTCTGTGTGTTTTGGTCTTCCCACATTGGGGAAAGAAGGGTATTTTCCACATGGGGGAGAAGGCCGTTTGTCTTACTTTCTGCCCAAAGCTCTTGATTCAGTGAGTACAAGCATGGAAAATTCAAATATGCTTAGGTTATTTGTGAACTAGGTTTCTGTTTTTTTTTTTTTTGTCATGTCTTTTCTGGAATTGATTAGCTTTATTGTGACATTAACTGGCCTTGAAATACTACACAGAGGTGTTACTTCTTGGTCATCATACTGGGTGGGTACAAACAGAGAGACCATCATTTGTTTCTTAGTGAATTGATTTTTTAAGCACGCCTGGCATGCCATTCATTAATAATGCATGAAGAAAATAATTAAATTGGAATATTTAAAAAAAAAAAACAAAAAACCCAGCAACATTGGTGGTGTTGTTCCTAATTCTTTTATTGAAACTAGACTTTTATTGAGACTGGACTACACTTTTCTCCTTCATTAAATCTTGGTCACGGTTCCCTGCTTTGGGTTTCAGGTAACTCAGGTGGACCAAGAGCCAGAGGAATTAAGATTGAAGGACAGAAGTTACAGAATTTGTCTGTGATCATTCTTAGGTTCACAGTAACCACATGCATCAGCATCTTAGGCTTCTAGCTGATCAAAGTTTTGTGAGTTTTTGATGTTGGTCTGTAGGGTTGACACTGGCTGAGGCTTTCCTCATGAGTTAGCCTTGTTGATTCTTATGGTGGTTTTCAGAATTTCCTTTAGGGAGTACTTGACCTGAACCCAAGTGAATTATTTAAAGAGAATTTATCTTTTCTTCTTGATTGTCACAAAAGCTTTTCTAGGGGCATCGCACCTCTTCTGGCTGTTTTCTTCTTACCTCCCTAGCCCATGATGCTTCGTAGTGTTAGACCGGGATAATGATAAGGGAAGACATAACCAGGTCTAAGGGCCATAGCTGTACTTAGCCTATCCCTGTACATTTTTGGAGGCAGCCTTTCTTGGCTGAGTCTAGAGGGATCATGCAGTCCATGTGGGTAAAGCAGTGGCAGGAGCAAATAACATGGCTTGAACCTTACCAGCAGTGTATGGTGAGGGTCTGGCAGTCCAGCAGTGACTTCCAACCTGGCTCTGGATCCGAACCCCTGCCCTGCTACCCTGGCCCTGTCCCAGCCCACTTCCTTCATTGCTCGTGGCAGCGCTGGTGATGGTGGAGGTCGTGAGGTGGAGGATTATAGTGGATTATAGCTAGGAGAGTTATGTTGTTATTGTTGTTAGGTGCCGTTGAGTCGGCCCCGACTCATAGCGACCCCTCCTTGGGTTTCCGAGGCAGTATCACTATGGAAGTAGATTGCCCAGTCTTCCTTCCGAGGAGTGGCTGGTGGGTTTGAACCGCCAGAATTCTGGTTAGCAGTTAAGTGCCTTTAGGCACTACACTACCAGAGCTCCTTAGGAGGGTTATAGTGGTCATGATTGTCAACCCCTGTCTTTAGGTACACAGTGGTCCTTTCTCCATGGATCAGAATCTGCCCCAAGCCACACAGTTTCCCCATGTGGAAAATACCCTTTATAAAACAAAACAAAAACCTTTTGTAACATTTTAGATCCTCTCAAGAACTGTGAAAATTGACAGAGTAAGGTTGTGATGCAGCTGCCTTGACTTGATTTCTGTTCAGTCTGAATATCTTTACAGAGAAAACTTCCATGGCCAGCTCCTTTGCTAATGCTTGCCCTTGCTTGTCAGAGATGGGAGGAGAGAGTGAGGCCATTGCTCCGAATTCCCGGCTCTCCTGATAGAGAAAAATGCAAAGCACAGTCATGTCACAGAGAGGCGCCAATACCATTCTTCCCTTTGAATTGTTGTTTTTAGGTGTTAGGCCTGGAACTATTCTCCATATTCCAAAATCCCAAGGTCTCCCTGCATCCCTTTTCTGTGGAGGCAAGGATTGTTGTTGTTGTTGTTGTTATGTGCCATCAAGTTGCCCTTGACTCATAGCCACCCCTCCTTGGGTTTCCGAGGCAGTATAACTACGGAAGTAGATTGCCCAACCTTCCTTCTGAGGAGTGGCTGGTGGGTTTGATCTGCCAGACTTCTTGTTAGCAGTGAAGTGCCTTAGGCACTGCTACCAGAGCTCCTTGGGGGCAAAGATAGTAGTCAAGTTGTCAGTCCCTGGAGAAGGACATCCTGCTTGGTAAAGAAGAGGGTTGTGGAAGAGGACGCCCCTCAATGAGGTGGATGGTCTCAAACACAGCAGCGGTTGTGAGGATGGTGCAGGACCAGGCTGTGTTTCATGCTGTTGGACATAGGTTGCTGTCAGTCGGAACCGACTGGACGACACCTAACAACAACAGAGTAAAACAAGATGCTGTTTTGCCTGAGTCTGAAAGTTGTAGTTTCATACTTGATCTTGAGTGAATGAGAAGCATATCGTGTTTCTCTAGATGAACAAAAACAGTCTTCCTCCAGCATTTTCCAGATACAGTGTTACCTGACAGAGTTTGAACCTGCTTTTGTTGAACACCAGGCCTGGTGATCTGCTCCCGTAAAGACTGCAGCCTTTCTAGTGCTTTCTCGTGCTGTGGGGCCCTTCTGCTCTGTCGCGTGGGTTTGCTGTGAGTTAGAAATCAACTCAATGGCATCTGCCACCAGCAGCTTGTTTAAGATGTCCAACATAGTGAATTGCCTAATTCTTGGGATTTTTGAAATTCTGTATTTAAAAAGAAAAACAAACAAACAAACACCACCACAGCTAATACAGGTTTGTGGGGATGAAAATTCAGCAGTGTAGACACGAATGATGCAAAGTCCCACTTGAATGTGAAAGCCCCTCTCCCACCCCCGTTCAGTTTGATGCGAATCCCTTAGGAACCTTCCTCCGTGGACTGTGTGCTGTGTGGCTGTGTGGTCTTAGACTGTCCTGAGCCGGTAATGTCACATACCACAGAGCAGAGTGCATCTGTCGCTGTCCTCAACTGCTGTCTTTAGGGTAGTAAACTGCTTTTAAATCCACCTCAGCGGCATCTTCTTGTTTCCAATATTCAGATCTTTTCAGGTTTCTAGGTTCCGGGTGGAGATGGTTTCCTGTTGTATGTAAGGAAAAACAGACTGTGAAAGTTACTTCCATTATAACTGTTGTTTCTGCTTTCTTCCTATGAGAGATTCTAAAACCTTTCTGTTTTTCTCTCTGCAGATTTAATCCAGAGGCTGGCTTCATTATAGAAACACCCACAGTTGCATCAATGGTTGGGAAAAGATAGTGACCACAGGTGAAGGAAGAACACCTCTGACACAGTGAGGACAATGAGTGTGCTCAAACCAAGTGGGCTCAAGGCCCCCACCAAGATCCTTAAGCCGGGGAGCCCAGCCTTGAAGACTCCTGTTGCTGGTAATGCTTCATGCTCAGCCTGTTAAAACCACAAGTGAATTCTCATCATCTATGACTTTGTTAGAAAGCTGTCAATACACAACCCTGTAAAAATTCATGTTCTTGAAAAGAGTTGGAAAAAGTTTTAATTAAAAGACATAGAATTTTATGTCCCAAAGTCTTAATCAGTGAAGAGTTTACTTTTTTGTAGGTTGTCTTTTTATTTAATTTAGTTGATTCGGTGCAAGTTGCTATGCTAGTTTTCCAGTTAAGTGCTTCAGTATTCAGCCTTTAAAATGTTAAGCTATTTCTTTAGTTTCTTTCTGCCATCTGGCTCCCTCATCAAAACCTTCCTTCTTGAGGTTTAGAGATAACTAGAGAGAAGAAAGTCTAATCTGGCTTAAAAGATTTCATGACACTAATTGATCTGAAGGTGGTGTCTCCAGCCTGACTCAGTGAGGGAACCTTTCCCAAACATTGTATAGGTGGACTCCTGCTCTTGGTTGCCACCAGCCATCTACTCCTCATCTGTTCTCCACCTCCTCATCCGCCATTTTAACAGGAGAGAGGGCATCTCAGGGTTGCTTTGACAGACTCTTTAGGTGATTCTTATGCTATTAGATCCCTTCCTAATGCTGCTAGCATTGCAGACACTTGGGGACCCACTACTGTATATAAAAGCCAACAGTGTTTTTTCAGGTTCTTCTGTGAAGACACTCATTGGTCCTCCACGATGGCAGAGATCTGTTTTTTCCCACTGCTGCTATGTCCTCCATACCTAGAACACGGCCGGGCATACAACAAAAGCAGAGTAAATAGTTGTTGAATGAATGGAGATCCAAGTTACATACATTTTATGTGTCATGATAAAACTGAGTTTTTATCAGAAAGGCTGTAAAACATCTTAGATGAGGGGAAAGCTTTACTGTCAAGAAGTAGATGTATTTCAGGGCCGATTAGCCTTGAAACAGGACAAAATTGCTGTCCCCTATTCTCTTTTTCCTAAAACCCTGTTCCTCTTTTTAGGACTCCTTCCAGTGCCAACTCTTCATCAAGCCTTTGCACGCACCACCCCCATTTAGAATTAGAATCGTCTCTGTTTTCACTTTCAGCATGTTTTATGCACACCCCTTAGCATATAAAATCCTTGGGTCCAGGGATCATGAAGAAGCCAACCCCGTGTCCCCAGCAGTGGGTAGCACACTCTGGACATTTTTTGCAGAGTAAAGTAACTCATTAAGAGTTACAGAAGGAAATCATTGCCAAGGAATTCAAGGCATTTTTACAGGGATTGTTTTCCAGAGAGTCATGTTTACATCGGCCTGTGAAAAAGAATCAGAGATGGACAAAGCTAGAACAGATTCTGAAACTCTGACCAGGCTGGCCTCAGGGTTTGGCAGGTTATCTGTTCTGTCAGAGAACTTCTGTTCTTTTCTGAGAAACATCCACAGGTGTAAACACCAAAATCTCTTTTTTATGGGTTGGTTAAAGAGATGTTTTGGGCCTGGTCTAGGCCAGCTGGACTGTGTTCCCCCCATCTTTGCATGGTTTATTTCCTTTTGTCAGTGAGGGCTCAGGCCAGATGTCACCTCCTCCAGGAAGCCACCCCGGCTCTGTCTCTTCTATAGCCCTTAGATCTGAAATTACCTGGTGCATCTCTGTATTGTGTGTCTCCTACTTCTAGACTCTTAAGCACTATGAGGGCATGGACTATGCTGTCTTGCTTTGTCCTCTGGCCCAGAGCACTGCCTGGGAGTGGTTCTGGAGTGGTAGGAGTTCAGTAAACATGTGCAGGGTAAATATATACCATATTTTATTTAATCTTCATTTTAAACAACCCGTAAGATATTTTTGTCCCTTTACAGATGAAGAAATTAAATTCAGAGAGGTTGTTCGACATTCTGAGATCATGCTATGACTAGTAAACAGTAGAGGGATTGAGAATGTGGGCTTTGCAAATTTATACTATATACTTAATATGTGTTACATGGATGCATGAATGAATTTCCATGATAAATATCACATTCCTGGCAAAATAAATTTTCTGTCTTTACCATCGGATAGAAAGTGCTCAGACTTACGTTGCCTTCACAGGGAGTTAGGCCAGTTGCTGCCTTTTCTTTCCTTTGCTGTGATTTCTACCTCTGCTAGCAAAGGAGTAGGGTTTGTCTGGCCTTCTGGGAGTAGTGATGGTGAATCCCTCCTTCATCAAGCCTGATAGTGCATCTCTGTGGTTTCCAGGTCCTGGTTTGTCAACTTCGGTTGTGAAGCCCATCTTGGTGAACGTGGATGGCTGCTTGCTTATGACGTTCTGGGTCGGGGTGGAATGAAGAATTAAGTCAGACCTATGTTATGAACTCGGGGAAAAGGACTATTACATATATGTTGTTGTTGTTATGTGCTGCTGAGTCGGACCCGACTCATAACAACCCCTTCTTGGGTTAATTTTTATTGTGATTTGCGTGAAAGTTTACAGAGCAAATTCACTTTCCGTACAGCAGCTCACATACGCTTTGTCTCATGACATTGAGTGCAATCTCCCACAGTGCAACAGCTCCCTTCCCGCTTCCTCCCAATAGTCATCTCTTCCCTGTGTCCATCCCTCCATGCATTCCTGCCCCCTGAGCTGTCTCCCTGTGCATACACAGCCCTTCTATTTTCCTGTGATTGATCTCTCCAAGGACTGTATCTGCCTCATGTGAATGTTCAGCTCCTATGCCTATCTTTTGTTTGGCCGGAAGCCACAGGAGTGGGTTCAATTTCAGGCTTGAAGGGCAGTAGAGGCCATAGTCTCAGGGGTTTCACCAGGCTCTATCAGACCAGCAAACCTAGTCCTCCCCTTTTTCTTTCTTTTTTTTTAATGATTTTGAGTTTTGTTCCACATTGTTCTCCCACTCTATCCAGGATGTCCTACATAGATCCCCCTCTGAGTGGTTGACAGTGGTAGCCGGGCACCATGGTGTACCAGTCCCTTGGACTAATTGTTTCCATGAATCTTTGATTTTCTTCATTCTCCTTTGCTCTGGACGAGGAGAGACCCATCATTGCATCTAAATGGCCACTTGCAAGCTTTTAAGATCCCAGTCACTACTTGTCGAAGTAGGATGTGGAACAGTGTTTTGTGTAGTATGTTATGCCAATTGAGCTTGATGTCCCCTGTGACTATGGTCCTGAGCCCACAGGTGAAAAGGACTAATTTTGTCTTGCTTTGACTTCTTCCCACCCTAATTGCAAATAAGCAATAAATGTCATCAATTCAGTGCATGTGACAGCATTGAATGTACTTCTTGCCTCCTGCTCAAAACCAAAGCAAACCAACCAACCAACCAACCAAACAAACAGAAAAACCAGAAAGTGAAAACACCTCCAGAAAAGCTGTGACTAGTTCTGTGCTGTTGGCTTTCTCTGGCTTGTTTTCCTTTGAGTTGGGATTGTCTGCCTGAATGTGAAGTTGAGTCTGTTCTGATTCTTTTTTCTGTTTTCAGTTATAGCTCCGGTAGACAAAGCAATATCCAGTGAGAAAGCATCGAGCACTCCCTCCTCTGAGGCACAAGAGGAATTTGTGGATGACTTCCGAGTTGGGGAGCGAGTTTGGGTAAATGGGAATAAGCCTGGATTTATACAGTTTCTTGGCGAAACCCAGTTTGCACCAGGCCAGTGGGCCGGAATTGTTTTAGATGAACCCATAGGCAAAAATGATGGCTCAGTGGCAGGGGTTCGGTATTTTCAGTGTGAACCTTTAAAGGGCATATTTACCCGACCTTCAAAGTTATCAAGGAAGGGACAAGCAGCAGATGAAGCCAACGGCTTGCAGACAGCTCATGCTTCCAGAGCTACTTCACCTCTGTCCACCTCTGCAGCCAACATGGTGTCCTCCTCGCCGGCAACGCCTTCAACCATTCCCCAGAAATCATCCCAGCCTACAGCCAAGGAGCCTTCAGCTACGCCTCAGGTCAGCAACCTTACAAAAACCGCCAGCGAATCTGTCTCCAACCTTTCAGAAGCTGGCTCCATCAAGAAAGGAGAGCGAGAGCTCAGAATCGGAGACCGAGTGCTGGTGAGTACAGAGACTCTCAGAGTCACTGTGTGCACTGAGTGGTTGGAATACACACTGTGTCCTGGAGGGAAAGCCATACATTTCTAGACACTCTAAGTAGCTTTTGCAGTTGTTCAGTTTATGCATAAACATGCAACCACATAGAAACTAGCTGTGCAGTTTGGGTGTGATGTGAGCGTAGACCTGTGATGATAGGCTCTAGTTTTATCTACCACCTTAGCCAGATTGAGTGTCAATGTTTAGGCACCCATGTTTAAGAAAATGTGCTTAGAGATATGTTTGTGAAAGCTTTAATGTAATTTTTTTAATGGGGTCTTTTTTTTTCTTTTATACTTGTTGTTACTGAGAAATTATACATGTAGAAATTCACAATTTTTGCATTAGAATTTCTACATGCACAATTCAGTGACCTTGATTATATTCTTTGTGTGGAACCATTTTCACCCTTCTTTTCTGGGTTGTTGTCTCTTCGTTAACATAAATTCATAGTCTCCTAAGTTTCCTATCTAATCTTTTGAGTTACTGTTTTCAGTTTGATCCCATTTAGGTAAGTCTAAGAGCACAGTGTTCAAGGCAGACATGTTTACTAGTTAAGGTAAACTATTGCTTGGTGTTAAAGAAGACTACAGGGGATATTTTTGGTTTAAGGTTTAAAGATGATCTCAGGGCAGTCGTTTCAGGGGTTCATCCACCTTCCATGGTCCAGAAAGTCTGCAGCCCATGAGAATGTGAAATTCTGTTCTGCATTTTCCCCCTTTTGCACAGGATCCTGCTGTTGAATCTTTGATCAATGTTTTCTAATTTTCAGTTGTTGCTTTAGGGATCGTGTGTGGGTGTGTATAAAGTCCTGCTTCTTACTCTACTCACCCTGGGAACACTCAGACCTGCTCATTGCAATGGAGGAGGCTGCTTCAGGATTCCTGGTCCTTTGAAATGATCACATTTAGGTCTAGGAAGAGGAAGGCCATGTGTGGTGTTACTGTGTTACTAATAAGCAGGAAAAGTGAGCTACAAGGCGTACATGCTGTACATTGGGAGCTCTGAATTTATAACACAGTGATGGGTTTGCCAGTGTTGTGTATAAGAAAACGGCAGCGTAGCACAGTGCTGAAGAACATAGCTGGAATCCCTGCTTTGCCTTTGTGGCCTCAGGCAAGTTACTGAACTGGTCACTTTCCTCAGCTGAAGATGTGGTTAGTTCTAGTCCTGAGCTCATAGAATTGTTTTAGGATCACATGAGATTGTGCATACAAACTCCCCAGCAGAGTGCCCAGCTTATGGCAAACCCTCAAGACATGGTGTCTGTTTTTCACACTGTTGGAAGTAAGGTACCATTTTGATGAAATATTTGAAGCTTCGCTATTTCACTCTCTTCTACACTTTCATCAGTTCCGTTCAGGGCATGCAGGACGTCATCAGCACTCTCTAACTCTGTTCTCTTTCAGTTTTCTTTATTGGATTCGTTGGCTCTTACGCTCGGCAGGGCCCAGTGACTGTCAGTGATATGACGGGAAAATGGGAATGAGTGCACCATGAGTCCCGTTTAATGTTTCATCACTGACGGTGTGTGCCTCCAGGTCACTGACAATAACACCGACTCTCCCAGACAAAGAGGTGTATTTGCAATTGAAACTTAGATTCCCTTTTCTAATTACAATAGTCATAAACTACATAATCAATACATAATACAATAATCATAAATTAGTTTTCCAATTACAATAATCATAAATGTCAAAGGACAGTGCTTGAGAACTTAGCACATCCTGATGAAAACATGGTCCGTCCGTGCTGTGCTCCTGGCTCCACTGTTCCCATTTAGCTGACACTCAGTTGCTGCACCAGCTAGATTTGGGCACTACTGCTCTTTTGTTGCAACAAAGATTTCTTGTTTTTTGATTTGCTGTCATGAATGTTCTTTTAAAATTTTGTGTCAATTACCAGGATAAACATTTTTAAGACTTATGGTACAGATTTGCTAGTAAGCTTTGGTTAAATCAGAGGCCTGTTAAACTGAAGATTATGGGCATTGCCCTTTCTGTGGCTTAGCCTCCTCCTCTTTCCCATTCACGAAAGCATACGGCACATTTTCAAAACCAGAGCTCTGCCTCAAGCCAGGCTGAGGAACAGCTGATTCAGTGCTAGTCAGGTGGGGTGCTGCTGGGCCCCGTAGAGATGTGATGTGAGCAGCTCAGGATGGCTCCGCTTCTAACCGAAGGCTTCCGTGAGGAAGTCCTGAGAAAGTGAGACCTGAGGGAGAGCAGGAGTGGGCTAGGCAGAAGGAAGTGGTGGTGGGGAAAGGAAACTTCTGGAAGAGGGAAGAGCAGGTGTAAACTCACTGAGATGGGCAGGAGTTTGAGGATGAGGCCAATGCGTGTCCCCAAGTGCAGTGAGTGGGTGGGAGGAGATGTGAGAGGGGTCTGCAGAGACTGGTGACAGAGGACATGAGGGCAGTTGTGGTAAGGGTTTTGGTTTTGGCCTTAAGAGTAATAAGTGTAGTCACAGGGGACATCAAGCTCAATTGGCATGACATACTACATAATACTACATTATTCCACCTCCTACTTTGGTGAGTAGCAACTGGGATCTCAAAAGCTTGCAAGCAGCCATCTAGATACAATGATGGGTCTCTCCTTATCCAGAACAAAGAAGAATGAAGAAAACCAAAGATTCATGGAATCAATTAGTTCAAGTGACTGGTAGACCATGCGATCCTCAGCCTATACAACTATGAGACCAGAAGAACTAGATGGTACCTGGCTACCACCATCAACCACTCAGAAGGGGATCTATGGAGGAGATCCTGGATAGAGAGGGAGAACAATGTGGAACAAACTCAAAATCATTTGGGGAATGAAAAGGGGGGAGGTCAGGTTTGCTGGTCTGATAGAGCCTGGTGGAACCACTGAAACTATGGCCCCTAGCTGCCTTTCAGGTCTGGAATTGAACTCACACCTATGGCTTCCAGCCAAACAAAAGACAGGCATATGAATTGAACATGTACCTGAGGTAGATATACTCCTTGGAGAGAACAATCATGAGAGAAGGGAAGGCTGTGTATGCACAGAGAGACAGCTCAGGGGGCAGGAGTGCATGGAGGGATGGACACAGGGAAGAAGTAACTATGGGGAGGAAGTGGGAGGGGAGCTGTTGCATTGGAGTAAATTGTAGTCAATGTCATGAGACAACGTGTGTGTAAACTGCTGTATGGAAAGTGAATTTGCTCTCTAAACTTTCATCCAAATCGCAATAGAAAAAAAAAAAAGGAGCAATGAGTGAAGAGAGATGTGATTAGATCTAAATTTTGGAATGATCACTCTGACTGCTTTGTAAGGAAAGAAGTAGAGGTTGGTGAGGCGGTTGGGGTGACCAGTCTGCTTATGTAGGTGGATATTGAAGGTGAATAGAGCCATTTTGCTGATGGTGGACGAGGACGGGGTCTAGGGAAGATGTTTTCTTTCTAGAGAGTGGATTGTTTCTGTCCTGCCTCAATGGTCTAGACTGAGACAGAGGCTGAAGCACTTGGTGGAGAATCTCTGCTGGAGTGAGGCTCCTGGGGAGGCGGGAGGGGATGGCCTCTCACCCACATAGAGGGTTGGCCTTGGAGGGAGGCAGGGAGGCTTCCTCTCCTTTAACAGGAAGGTGGAGGGACAGTGGGATCCCTGCATGGTGTGAGCGGCCAACATGCTCAGCTGCTGACCAAAAGGTTAGAGGGTCGGGTCTACCCAGACGTGCTCCAACAAAAGGCCTGGACATCCCCTTCCAAAAGGTCAGCCCTCAAAACCCCTGTGACACACACTTCTACTCTGATGTGCATGGGGTCGTCATGAGTCAAGGTCAACCTGAGGGCAAGTGATTCTTTTTAGAAGAGGGGGTCTGAGATGAGGTTGCTTTATAGAGGTTTGAATGGCTCATTTGTAGGAAATTTTAAATTCGGTTTTAAAAATGCATATTTGGAAAGAATTTAAGTTAATTTGAATCTGTAAAATAAGAACAGTGTGTTAAGGAGGAAGTGATGTTATTTACTGCCTTTGGTTAGTACTTCTGGAAAGAATCCCAGGAGGACTGCGGAGTCACAGTGTTGTAGAGCTGGGACGGAAAGGCTCTTTCTTTATGTCACCACATGCCTCAGACTGCTGAGTGTCCTGAAGCCCAGAGGAGAGCAGTGACTTGCCTCAGGCCACGTGACTTCACCCATGTGTCATGTGTCCTCTTAGTCCCAATGCCTTGTTTTCCTATCTGCTTTCACATGCTGCCCTATTGACTAGAAATCTTTGATTTAGAAATAGAAAGCATTTTGACTTCAAAATTACTTAAAGAAATTAGATTTAGAACTCTGAAATACCTCATTTGGGATTTTCTTAATTAAGATAGTACTGGTGGATGGTAAAAGTGCTTCCAGACTCAACTCTGTGACGATTGGCCCAGAGTTTTCCCAGAGTCCCACCCAGGTGCCTGATGTGGTCAAAGCAGGTAGGGGGTCTAGCCTGCCTGCTCATGCACTTGGGCCCTCTCTTTCCGTAGCTTCTGTTCTTGAAAGAGGGTAGGAGAGGGGATTTCTACAGTAGGAAAGATATATGGAGCTCTGGTGGCACAGTGGTTAGACCATTGTGCTGCTAACCCAAAGGTCAGCAGTTCAAATCCACCAGGCGCTCTGTAAAGATTTACAGCCTTGGTACCCTATTACTCTGTCCTAAAGGGTCTTTGTAAGTCAGAATGAACTTGGTGGCTGTGGGTTTGGTTTTTGGTTAATTTGGTTTTTGGCTAGCTGACTTTCTATGATCCAAATAACAGCTCCTGAGTCAAGGGAGTGTAAAACACTCATCTCTTGAGGAAGCAGCCAGGGAGCTTGGAGAAGGCTCCCCCTTGTCATTCCTATCCACCCCCTCACCCCCCATGCACGTTGTCTTCAGTGGGAAGGAGAGTGATAGGTATTATGGGAATACATTGTCATTACCAAATGTTACAGATTCAGTCGACCCCTAAAGAATTAGCTGTAAAGT